AAATATATGTTTATCAAATAAAGTCTAATGTTACAACTAATCGTGGATCCCTTTAATGATGTAAATTAGAATAAAATTTTTATCACAGTTTTCAAGAGGCTGAGAAACTACAGGAAGATTTGTTGATTGTTGACACTTTTATGAGTTTGTTTGTTGTTGTGTTTGTTTCTCAGGCTGCAGGTCGAAGATCCAGACAGGCTTTTGAGGCGGAGCCTGTAGAGGGGGTGTGGTCTGTGTGGGGGGAGTGGTCAGAATGCTCTCAAACATGCGGAGTGGGCGTTTCACAAAGGAACAGGAAGTGCTTACCCCCTCCCTTCCCCCAGACTCCACCCCTCTCTCATTCTCCCCCAAACTGGGCGGGGCTTTCACACAGAAACATCGGGGGACCTGAGGTCTCGCCCGTCAACCCTTTCTACCCTCCTCGCTACCCGGGGCAACACCCGCCTTATCGCGGCCATAACCCTGGATTGCCTTTGTATCGGAACGTCCCCGCCGGAGGAGAAGGGCCTCCCGTTTCCGGACAGAACAACCGCTCTCCTCCTTTCTACCGTTCAGAATTGCCTCCGACCAGTCGAGACCCCGCTCCAGGTTACAGACCGCCCTACTACCCCGCCGCGCAGGGCTACGACCAGCCGGTGAGGATCGTCAGGAGGCCGACCAATCCCGGAGCAGAGAGAGCCGGGGGAGGCGGGAACAGGCGCTCTGTCTCATCCAGCCGGGAGGGGTTACCTTCGAGAAGGTGAGCGAGCTGAGTCATTTCATGTTCTGAATCATTTTGATAATCAAATAACCTCTAACGGTTCTGGTTCTGGTTTAGATGATGGAGGCTAAGAGTTGTTAGCATCGTGAGAGAGAGACCAGTATGGACTTACAGCTGATTCTTCCGTTGCACATTTTGACTGGAGAAGTGTCATTTCCTGCTAAAATGCAGTATAAACGCAAAAAAAAAGCTGAAATTAGCTGAAACTAACAGAAAAATTATGGAGCCCGCGAGGAGACATGGGGGGATTTTTTTCTTTTGCGTTCCCACGCAATACCTTTGCGTTACCTCGCAATACTTTTGTGTTACCTCGCAATACTTTTGTGTTACCTCGCAATACTTTTGTGTTACCTCGCAATACTTTTGTGTTACCTCGCAATACTTTTGCGTTACCTCGTAATATTGTTTTGCGTTCCCTCGCAAAAGTTTGTTTTGTATATGAACTGAATTAAATTAGACTTTTATTTTGAAATATCCGGTTACCAAAACAGGATGTGTCGCCCCAAGTTCGTGAAATTGACATTTATGTTGCGTGGCTGCATTGTGTTAAAATATCAGCATATGACATACTTCCATGTGTGTCTGTGTGATATATTCATTCTGAAGCTGAATTAAAGCAGTAGGCTAACTCGCTAATGGTGAACATGTGAGTTTGTTAATAAACCGGCAGGCACAACAGTGTTTAACGACTTTTGCGTGGGAACGCAAAAGGTATTGCGAGGTAACGCAATACTTTTGCGTGGGAACGCAAAAAGAAAAAAAAAATCCCCCATGTCCCCTCGCGGGCTCAGTAGAAAAATAGCTGAAAGCTGAAAAAGCAGAAAAAACCCACTAAAATTAGCAGCAAAAACTAAAGGGCACATTTGCTGAATTAAGTAGAAAATAGCTGAAATTAACACAAAAAATTTTCAATTAATGGCTCAAATTAGCAGAAAATCAGTTAAATAGCACCTGTGGAAAAAGAAAAATGTTGAAATTAGCAGAAAGTCGCTGAAAAGAGCGTATAAAGGTTAAACTAGGAGATGGAAGTTGTAACAAACAGACGAAGCTGAAGTTAGCAGAAGATAGCTGAAAGAAGCTAAAGGAAGCTGAAACTTAATACTTAAAATGTTAAAGTTGCTAAAGAAAAGAGCTCCAAGTAGCAGAGCAGTTAAACTATCCAAAACATGAAAAAAGCTGAAATCAGCACAAGATAGCTGAAAAGAGCAAAATGAAGCTGAAATTAGCTCAAACAAACTGTAAAAACCAGAAGAATAGGTGAAATGAGCTGTAAAATGTAAAAAAGGGTTTGAAGAATTTTGACAGAAAATATATTAATTTTCAATGAGAAAAAAAGTGGCTGAAAAAGTTAAATTTTTCAAAAAGTAAAATTTACACAAATATAAAAAGTTGTAGTAGGAATGTCCTGAATGAGACGAACGTTTTGATGCATGAATTATTGAAATGACCCAAAAACTGGCAAACATAACACATGTCAAAAACCTTACAGAAGAAAAATGCGTCTCAGTAGTGTGACAGCTTTATAAGCACTCGCACAGTAATGACACACAACATGACACACAATATGACACACAACATTTCAACATTTCTGAGTCATTTTGTTTTAGGTTTAAGCTTCTGCACAGAAGGGTTAATGATATTAATCAGCGTGTGGTTTGCTCATCAAGAAATGCTGAAAAAGTTAGGATTTTTTGGATGAATCATCAGAAATGACTGTTTTTATCTTTACTAATACATTTCAAGTAGGATAATTTTTTTTGCCTTCCTCAGCACCTTGAACTTGCTTTATTCATGGAAAAAGTCACTTGCATAAAAGGAAGTGAGATTTGCAAGGCTTGCAGTAGCAACACTGTTTGTTTGGGACAAACAGTCGCCGCCCCATTGTTACCGGACAAAGACAAGATTTGTATCTGATGGTGAAAACAAGAAGGCAGTGACCTCTGGGCTGATAGTTCAGAGCAGCAGATAATAAAGGATTCTCTGCTCATTAAGGTTCAAACATTAGAAGGTTTATTATCACGATGCTGGTGTTCAGCTCGGCCTCTGGTATCTGCTGCATCCATCACTCACTCTGATTTATTTATTTATTTATTTATTTATTTATTTATTTATTTATTTATTTATTTATTTATTTATTTATTTATTTATTTATTTATTTATTTATTTATTTATTTATTTATTACAGGGACAGTGCATATTAATAACATTTCTGTAAATATGCCGGCGTTAGCCAGAAGGCTATGTTTCACTTGCAGTCCCTAGACAGATGGCAAAAGTCACCCTGAAATATTAAATGTAAAACTACATAATTACTAGGGCTGCAACAATACATGTACCCGTATTGAACAGTGCTTTAGGTTCAATACACACTATGTAGCGAACAATACAGATTTTTAAATTAAATTTTATCAACTTGTCTTCTGAAGATGCTCTGTGTTGAAGGATCAGTGGATCTGTGTTCGACTACACCACCTAGACTGTATTTTTGAGCGCAGATCCACTGAGAAACTTGCTGTTTCAGTAAAATTTAAAAACTGTACTTAAATGTTCATAATTAATTTAAATAAATTTCAAGTTAAAAGGGACATGGACATTTCTCTTTTTTGTGTCGAAAAAAATATCGAACCATGAGACTAAAGTATCGAACTGAACCGAATCGTGAATTTTCTCTATCGTTGCATCCCTAATAGTTACAAAATAACAATTACAATACACTTCAAAATAATTAAAATATTATAAGCTAGAATGCATATAAAAACACAAACCAATTAGTAGAAAATATCACAGAACATAATAAACGCACACATGAGACAAGATGACAGCAGAGAGGAGCAGGAGCCGGTCTAAATGTAACCTAATGTTCACAGCTCTGATTATCAATAAGACATTTTGGTACCACTTTACAATAAGGCTCCCTTTATAGATGGCTTATAAAAAGGTTATAGATAGGTTATTAATTAATCTGTAACCACTTTATAAATCAATAAGTGTTTATTATGCATTTATTAAGAATAAGAAAGAGACAAAACTGTCTGGTTTCTTGCTAAACAGTGAGCCAAATCTGTTCATGTACATATTATAAAGTGTTATATTAAACATTTCACACTAGGTTAACTTGTAAGCACAATAATGTATTGGAAACACATATTTACATTAGGTACACTATTTATTAATGATTAATAAATGTGTACAAATGTTATAATGGAGCCTTATATATAGTGTATGGTCTTACACTTTACAATAAGGCTCCCTTTGATAGTTGTGGATATGTGTAGTACAATGTAATATTATATGTAAAATATGTGTTTCCAATACATTATTGTGTTTACAAGCTAGTAACGTAGTGTGAAATATTAGATAGCTGTAATATGTACATGAACCGATTTGGCTCACTATTTGACCAAAAACCGGACAGTTTTGTCTTTCTCGTCCTTAATTAATGCATAATAAGCACTTCATAATGATGTATAAAGTGTTTACAGATAAATTAATAACCTATTTATATAGTATTTATAAGCCATCTATAAGGGGAGCCTTATTGTAAAGTGGTACCGACATTTCTTTAACAGTAGTTTAAATGTGTTATAGTTTAAATCTGTAATGATCACAGGAAACTGTGTTTTTGTAATATTGGACAATAATGTTACATATTTGTTCTCTTGTCGGTGCATTTATACAGTGATTGCAGTGGTTTTAGAGCTGTAGCATTAGCTTGAGACCAGATGTGTAAACAGTAATTGATATGGGACAAAAATCATACTGTATATGTAGATTTTATCTGTCTGTGTGGACATCTGATAACGAACATGTCTGAAGTTACTGAGGTTAAATTTGATGTGATTACAGAGAGATATGTGATTTAAATAACACGTTTGAATCAGTTACCACCCTCAGATATTTGTCTTCAGATACACTCTGCAGCCTCCCTCCTGATGTTGATTTTCAGTGTGCATTGTCAATGCAATGCACACTATTGTGATTCGTTTCCCATCCAAGTCATCTCAACTTTGCCATGCTTCTCCTCCTGCATACTTTGTCCTAGAGCTGCCATTGTAATTTATATCTGTAAAGCTCCTGTGCCAAATGATGTCTGTGCCTTTTGGTGCCTGTGCAACTTATAGTTTATGAAATATTAATGTTTAATGAATTATAATGGCAGTCAATGGAGCCTTGGGTTGGTCCAATACTGCCCCATGCTGTACTGAACTTGGTACTGCACCATAGTTTAATATTTCAACTCAGTAGTTCAGTGTTTACAGTACTATATAATATTGTATTTTGATGTTTTACTATAAAATTGTCTTAATACTGCTCTATTGCTGTAATATTATGCATTTTTATRTCAATAATTGTATTGGCAATGTGGCCTCTTTCTGCACACATACAAACCAACCCCTGCCACCAACTTCTGCCACAGCTCCATTGGTCTAATGGTCTATGTCATGGACTTTCATGTGGGAGATCAGGGTTCAAAACCCAGCTAATGCAACTTTAACAAAAAAATCTCCTCCAACTTCATATTGTTACACATTTGCCTTAATTACAAACACCTGCTGACGTGACAGGCACAAGCTGGTATAGAAAACACATTTGAACTTGGTCAAAGTTCATTCTGCAAGTCCAATGCTGCAGGCAAAGCCATGCTACATGGCAATGCACACTTGTTTTTACATCGTAAAAACCCATGTCTAGTTACTCTTTACTTCCTCTGTGAACATTTGTGTGTGAACGATCCCCGCAGGTCCTCCAGCATCCGTCCAGGTCAGTTTGGGTACGGCAAGGTTCCCTTCTCACTGCCTTTGCATCGCACCAACCGCCAGGCTCGCCACACCGCTAACGGCACCGAGGGAGCTCTCCAGGTGAACACCGACGAAGAAAACGTCAGGAGCCAAGAGGAGACCGACGAGGAGGAGATCCGAGAGGCGCCCGCTGCCGAGGAGGAAGCCATCGTCAGCGCCACTGAAAGGCCTCGCCCACGCCTGGACAGACCGTCCCACGCAGAGCCCAGGATGAGCAGAGTCCAAGCCCAGAACCCCCAGCAGCGCCCATCGTCTCCGGCTGTCTTCGTCAACCGCCACCGCTTCGACTGGAGCTCCGTCACGGCTCCTCCCCCTCCTCCTGCCTCGCTGTCGCTCCCGCGCCAGCGCTCTGCTCCACTCTTCTCCTCTTCTCTCCACCGGCTCGGCTCCGTGAGCAGAGACCCTCAGCCGGACTTCAACCCTCAACCGCCACCGCCCTCAGGCAACAGTTACCCCTTCCAACACACGCCTCACCCGGGGGTGGAGTCTGGGAGGCACGGAGGAGGAGGAGGAGGAGGAGCTCTTCGGGTGTTCAGATGCCCCGGGCCGGAGAAGGAGTACCGCAGGTGTTTCTCACAGGTAAGACTGTTTAATTTTTTAACATGTGAGCTTAAAGGGATCCATGATTAGTTGTAACATTAGACTTTATTTAATAAACATATATTTTAACTGTAAAATAAAGACTGTAAAAATACTGTAGGATGTTCAGTTTTTATCATTTTTAAACTAAAAGTTTAAAAATATAGTACACGGATGGAGCAATTTTATTTACACACAAAGCATTCTGGGTAAATGATGGCGTGGATAGGTCCTCGGTGCGAGGCTGCTAGCGAGCTATATCCACCC